AGATTTTCGTAAAAAAATCTTTTAGAAAAATTTACGTATTATTTTTTACGCCGCCGAATCAATATCCGTAATTTTTAGTAATGCCTATCTATATTTCTAGACGAAATTAAAATAAGCCTGCATTTATCAGCTAAAAACGCCTCAATCCCGTTTTGGTATCAAAAACTATGATAATCGTAACATAATATTTTATGGTATATTAATTTAATTCACATGCAGTTATCATATTGATATGTTATCAAGAAAAGTAAATGCGATGTATTATTATATTTTAAATATAGAAAACTTTTGTAGAAAAAGATTATTAAAAAGTTTATTAACAAATACAATTAATATTTTAATGAAAAATTAAAACAAATAAAAATATATTTTTAGTAAGAGCTGTGGTGCAATTTTTTTGTAATTTAAAATTGAGAGCAGTAAGATAATGATAATATAATTATGCAAATCATTAAAAAACCCACATTTTAGCATATTTTTAAAATATTGAGAATTATTTATAATGATCAAATATTGTTTTATGATCTAAAGATCCTATGTATCATCTCTTCGATAAGATAAAAATATTAACATTAAATAATTTTATTAATAATAAAAATAAAATAATAAGTTTATTGAAATAGATTAGATGATTATTAAGTTATTAGTATTTGGAAACTATAGAATTTATTACAATTGACACCTCATAGAATGAATGACAATCATCCGAAGGTGATGCATATTTATGTAATCTTATAGACAATGACATTAATTTAATCTGGTCATAATGAGTCGCTATGCTACACGGCATCTAAATCGCCTGCCATTTAAAATGCCTTTGTAAAAATTCTATAGCGAAGAATTTTTTAGAAGTTATTCTTTTTAATAACAACTTCATTAAATAGTGTTGGATGACATAAATGATGTACTGTAGAAGACACAAAAGAGATTATACTGACTTCAAATTGCAAGTACCAAAGACGATCCCGAGGAGAGGCATCTCAGTTTTATCGATCCCCGCTTACAATAGTGTTATTGATTACTGCTTATTAATCACGTACAGCTGCTACCTAATCCTTTTGCACCAAACTATAGGGTATACTATTGAAGTGTACCGAAACGGAAGTAATGTTTCGCTGTTACCTTTAATTTAGAAATAAACAGGACAGTAACAAACAGAGCAGAAGCACCCATACCGCACAACTGTTTCGATTTTCTAACATTAATTTACCAGTAGGAGGGAAAACGCATTCTAATTAGACGACGTAACTCTAAACTTTTCTAAACTTCCATTGCTTAAAGATTATAGCAATTTTCATTCTCTCATCTTTCAAATCCAGAAAGCATCTAATGTCTTGTTAAATTTTATCACTCGGTTGTGAGGCAATTCGATTCAACTCAAGAGAATGAATTTAACATTCATTATATCAGCATTTTAAGCTTTATTTATGAATAATTGTTTCCCTAAAATTGCATTGCAGTTACGTAAAGTTTAAAACCAAAAAAATATATTATATATTATTTTAGAATATAAATAACATAAAAAGACCTTCAAATAAAATTTAAGTTAAGTATTACTTTCTTCTACACAAATTCTTAGAACGAAAAAAAGATAGTAAATATGTGGACCACGGTAATTTCCGCTTGATCACTTGCAGACAATGCAGAAATAGATCACCCATTACCTTATTTCAGCGCATCAGTGATAAGGTGTTAGAGCTTGCAAGGAAATAAGTCAGTGACAAAATTACTTTTCCAATAGAGGTAACTCAATTTCTGAACAGTCTTTAAAATTTCCGAAATGGAAAAAATTATTGCAATTGTAAAAAAAAAATTCCAAACCTTTTAAACTCTTTCCTAAGATACTTTGATTTGTTTATGTGATTACATTGGTAGCATTATTTGAAAGAAACTTTGTCTTTTATTAAATAACTACAATAGCTGCGGAAAGTAAATATATATTGTCCATCAATAACTTTTATAACAACAAAAATGCGCATTGTTTCCTAAATAAGCTACTCTATTATCAATTGTTTGTCTTCGGGGTGATCATGCCAACTAAACTTTCGCTATTCTTTCTATAAAAAAAACTTATTTACAAATAAAAATATTTATTCTTAAAAATGCAAATTTCATTTTTAATTTTGAAATTAAAATTATTTAATATCGATTATTTTAATAAAATGATAAACATATTTTTATAAATTTAAATTCAAAAAAGTTGTTTACATTTAAACATTAAAGTAATAACTAAACAAGAATATAAATTATCTCAAATTGTATAATGCTATTAATATAAGATTTCAATAACATTAAAGATAGTTTTAACAATTTTATAAATGTTTTGACATTTATAAATTATGTCAATTAAATTTAAGATTTTCGTACATTAAATCAATATTTAATTATATGAAAATATGCTGTTATGTTTTAAAAATTTCTAATAAACTTTTTAAAACATGAATTTATTTTCTTAAATATTATATCATTATTCATTTAAACTTAAAAGTAAATTTTAAAAGTTTAATTAAATGAAAAAAGAAACAATTCATTATTCTAAACGTATATCGAAATGTTTTTGCTGCATAATTAGAAATATAATCATTGATGGACTGGAAAATATTTTAAACTTCATTAGTGAATAAATATAACTTGTCTTTTATATAATATTTAGTAAATTAATACTACGTAACATTTTATAAATAGTAAAATTAGAATTTTCAACTTTATTATTAATAGATAGTTAATTACTTCGGAAGAAATTAATTTCTTTTTAATAATTCAGAATTGCATAATTAATAACTTTTGTTGTTTGTATAGAATATAATAATTAAATTTTATAAACCTTGTAAATTAAATATTAATTTCTGATTTATTATCTGCTAATTAAACAAAATTATTCTGAAAATAAACAAAAGAATCGAAAAGTTAATAAATATTTTTACGTCTGTTTGTACTACTTTTTATTGGAATGATCCGAAATGTTTACCAAGTTGAAAATATTACAAATACGCACTGTTTGTAGTAATAATAATAAGAAAGAAAAATCTTATCTCTTTTGTAATCACGAGATATGAAATGAAAGAAAAACCGAAGCAGAATAAAAGTATATATACTTTCCAACTCAAATTCTACGCTTTGAAATGTATGATATTCTGTAAAAAAGAAGTAAGATATAATACAAGAATCCAAACTTATTCATTCCTACAGGGAATTGGTTTTCTTATATGTTCATTACTGAGAAAAACCAATGAAAATATTTATCTTACGTTGCAGCTTGTGACAACATTACGTTCAAATGTTCACATTTTATTTAGCAATTGGAGTATGATTGAGTGAACAGAATGACGGACGTTATTTACAAGCCGTTTCTTTTAAGTCTGAAAATATATCCTCATACAAAGATCGTAAATGGAAAGAAGATGTTAGCAAACATGCCCTATAGTTAACTTAGCGATAGGTCTGCAACTTAGTATGACAGTTGAGTTTGACAACTAACTGAAGTTAGTTTCTCTAAACTCCAGCCAGCTGTAAATGGATTTAGTGTGATTGACATGCTAAAAGGAAGTAAGATAAGTTTGTTTCCAGGCAAAGTCATTTATTATCATGTTTTAGGATAGTAATATATTAATGTAATTCCACAAAATTTATGGTTTTATACATTTAAATAATGGATATCGTATTGTTGATCCAGTTACATGTTAGAAATCTTTAATTACTCTATGATTTAAAGACATTAATATAAACAGAAATTAAACAGATTTAGACAGAGTTTATTTTTTTTTTAGATTTTAACATATTGTTAAAAGTTTTAAATAAATAATTTTCAATTCTAAAGAAAATGACTAAATGCGATGTTTTTAAACTTTAAAGTGAATCAAAAATAAAAACAAATAAAGTATTTTTTATATATTTAGTTAACAACGTGAATATATTTTTTATATAAGTAAATAAATAGTAACGAGAAAAATCTTCGTCAAAATCTTGTAATAAGTACTCGTCCGAATTTAAGTATTTGTTGAGCATCTTGTATGGATGTATAAAAGAAAATAAGTATCTGAAGATTCCTTTCACGTTATTACCAGAAGAGAATTATATAATACAAATTTAACTTTTAATTATTATTAATGAATTGAACTGTAATAGAATTTTTAATTTTGATTTAATTTTTGAAATCTTTTAAATACAAACCTATTTTTAAACTGAAGAAATTCAAATAAAAGTCACTTTATTTCAACGCTGATTACTCTTTATATTACTTCTAATTAATTTATTTACTCAGTAGAAATATTTTTGATTAAATAGATTCAATCAAATCGTCAAACTTTTTAATTTTTTCGACTTTAAATTATTAAGCGTTTTACTTTTTAATTTAATTAATAAAATGATTTTAAATTTATTTTTTCGAATTAAAGTAATAAAAGACGTAAACTACACTATTAGTATTTTTACTTATTATAAAATTAAGTTTTGTCTTTTATCAAAATAAACCTATCAATTATTCAAAAGAAGATATTACATTTTAGAAACGAATTAATATTGCGAAAAAATAATTATTTGATTGATTTTTTTAAATATATATCATAACTAAATTAATAATACTGGTGATTATTATTTGTAAAAGTTCTTATATGTGATATTAAAAATTTATAATAAAATAGTCTAATATATAAAAATCAATATATGTCGAAATAAATTATATTTCGACATATATTGATTAAATGAAATACAAAATAAAGAAATTCAATATTTTTCAGATTATAGCGAGTTATTATGTATGTATATATATATATATAACTCAATATAATTTAAACATTGAAACGAATCATTAAAAATAATAATACAATTTTTTATTTTTTTATTTGAGAATTTCTATAATTAATGAAGAGCTATACTTAGCCCATCATCTATTCTTTCTGCAGAATGAAAGTAACAACAACAATGAAGGAAGCAATCAACTCATTCTTCCACTCAAAATTACAACATTCAAAGAAACAATAAAAGATAAACAAGTTACTCACGTGGGGATGATTAAAGAATCTCAGCTATCTCATCTCTTGTTATAGAAAACATTTACATAGAAAATTAATAAAATATTAGACATATAAATATCTAACTTTTATAATGTTAGATAACATAATAAATATATAAATTTGTTTTTATAATTACAAATGAAATAGTTTAATAATATATATATTATAATGTTTAAATATTTTCAATTTTAAATAAAAATAATAATAAAAACAATTTATTGAGAATAAGCATACGAAAATTTATTTGAAAATAAGGTTATAAAAAACAAAATTTTATTTCATAAATACATAAAAAAAAGACATTAGAAACTTTAAAAGGAGTTTTATAAATCAGAATGATAAAATATGCAAATATATCTAAAAATTTCAATTTTAAAATAGAAAATATGGTAGTTTCCATTTTATGTTAAAGATTCAACTAAATTGAAATAAACTAATGAAAGCCACTTTAAAATTTTCTTTTGAAATTGGATTTATTTAAAGCATATATAAAAATGAAAACAAACACATCTCTTACAATTGCATTATAACTACATATTGCTTTTTTTACATACCAACATTCATTGTTATATTGATTATATTCATCAAAAATGACGTTAATAATTAGGCCTACATAAGACTGGAAAATTTCAATAAATTTCTTTTAATATTTAATGCCATTCTTATTATTATTTTGTTTATAAATAATCATGTAGATACATTCTTTATTTCAGCATAATGTTATTTTACATGTTATTTTAGATAATAATATACAGCATGTTATCACATGTTATTTTAGATAATAATATACAGCAATGAGATATTAGAACGTTTTTTAAAAATTATATTTGATATATATTGTATTATGTAATATATACATATATAAGTTATATAATACAATATACTAGTATATACAATATAATTTTTAAGAAACGTTCTAATATCTCATTGCTGTATATTATTATCTAAAATAACATGTATTATGCTGAAATAAAGAATGTGTCTGCATGATTATTTATATAAAAAAATAGTGATAAGATTGGAATAAACTATTAATTATAAGACTAGAAAATCTCTTAATATTGTCATTTTTATTAAAATAATCAATATAACAATAAATTGTTGGTGTGCAAAAAAGAAACAATATAAAGTTATAATGCAATTCTAAGAAAGAGTTTGTTTTCATTTTTATACTTCTATGTACTTTAATATATACAAAATGCATATAAATATATTAAACAATATATATTGTTTAATATATGTTATATTTGTTATGTTTGTTTTTCATTTATAAAAAAATTAAATTTATGAAAGTAGCATATCCATAAGTACAATTCCAATTTCTGTTTGAAACTCTGTTTCAAATATATCATTTTAAGTTCAACTTGATAATAAATACAGAAAGAGATATCAAAAGGAGTGACGTAACCGTAATCCAGATGCTCAAGGCTTTCATTACTATATTAACATAAATAGATTAAGTACATTATTAATGTAAGTAATTGCTTCTATGCCTTTTCTAAAGCATTAATTGATCATTTACATTTATTTATCTTATATTTTTAAACATTTTTCTAGATAATGTAAAAGATTTTTATACTTAGAATATATATACAGTACATGTAAAAGGTATAAATAATGATTCATACACAATGAATCATTACTTAATATAATTATCTTTAGATGACAAAACAGAAAAACTAAAAAAATTTTTTAATATAGTGTTCTTTGCCAAATTTAATGCTTAAGAAATAATAATAATTTTTGAAGAAAAAATGAGATTTCTTGAACGAAAAATTGGTTATATAAGTGAAAGTAAATATAGCTACATCTGTTTTTTTAACGAATTTTAGTTTCAGACATCCATTTGGAATCGATCTTTGCTAATATGTAATAGCATCTTTAAGTCTTCTTTATCCGAAATTTAGTAGGAAAACGGTTTTGATTTAAGAAAATTTTTCATTTTTCTGCTATTTTCTAAGATAGTTATATCGAATAATATTTTTTATTTTAGGATTTATATGTGAGTATTTAAAATTGTAATATAGAAATTTTAAATAATGATTAAAAAATTACTCTAAATATATTGATATACTTGATATTTTGTGATTTTTTTATTTTTATGCAATTTCACTTTATATTTTTAAAATATTAATGTTGGGATAGCCGCACAGAAATGTATAATTTATGATTTTTCATTATAAAATTTTTTAAAATATTGTACAGTAATTAATTATGAGAAATACCTTCATTGTTCTAATAAAGTAAACATTTTCCCTAGAAAATATAGATATTTATAATCTGAATGCTTTTTATAATTTAGCTGCCAAATGGAGTATTCGTGCCATTTAATGAGTGATAAAGGTTAACATTACTATTACATAGATTAAAAATAAAGCGTAATATTTAAAAAGATATTCTAATAGCTTCCAAAAACAGACAATATAAGAAAACAATTAAGAATAAATAACAATGAACAACAAGAAATTATATCATTCTATAGTAACACAATAGATGTGAAAGGAATTACATAGAATAAATGGAAAATTTCCGATTTGTTTAATATTTTAGCAATAATTCCAAATTCCTTACCTAAATTGTTGCTTCGATTTAAAATACATTATTTTACATCAATGAGAATTCTAACTTTACACAATATAATTATTTAATACTTGACTATACAAAACAAAATGTAAACTTAGTTCAAAATTAAAATATAAGGAATATTTTATCAGCTACTTTTGAAATGTATATTAATATATTAAAATCATTAAAATATTTCCTTACATGAATCATAGAATATAAGAAGTTTTCAATATAAGTTGAGTAATATTAGTTGATCAATGACAATTCTGATCACTGATTTAGTTATATCATTAAACAGAATTAAAATTGATTATTAATCAAGGTTATTTTAATCTCCTTTTAATAAGAAATGTAAATTAATAAAGAACAAAGAAATTACTTTTTTGATTAAAAATTGAAAAGTAAAGTATTAATTTTTGTTTTGAAAACTCGAGTTTGAAATTTTCACTTTAAAGTTTGAAAATTTACAAAATTTTTAATGGAACTGTTGGCAATTCTGCAATATTGTCTTATATGTCTTATATTCAAGTAACATTTATTTAGTTTTGCTTGTACTGAAAATATTTAATAATAGCTTTTTCATGTTTTAAAGCATTAAGTTTTTATTAAATCGACTGAAACAAAAAACGTTAAATTAAAAAGTAATAAGTGGTCTTCATTAACTTAAATACAGTAAACACATTACAGATAGTTTTAAAAATGTAATATCAACACTTTGAATGATTTAATCTCACTTTTTAACTATATAAAACAAAATTAATAAAAAAACTTTAATTATGAGTATTTCTTCAATACACTGACATAAAGTAAGAGATTTTTTCACAATATTCAAATGCTACAGTGCGAGTTTTAATTCAAATGATTATTCTGATTTAATAACGTTGCAACTAGTGAGATGGACTCTGCCTGCTAAAATAAAAAAATAAAAAATAAAAAAATAGTTCTGAAAACATCAGAGATTGGAAAAAAGCTTTCATCATTTAATAAAAAGTAAAAAAATAGAAATTTTTCTAAAAGAAAATTTTCTGTTCTTTGATCTCAAAATCCGAATTCAGTCTGTCAATATTTGTTTCTCATCTTTGTTGAGGATTGAATTGAATTAAAGATTAATCAGAAATAAGACTGATTCATTGAAGTAATTCATTACTCAATTTAATATAAAATAAAAGAAAACCCTTACAAAAAATCGTTTCTTGTATTTATCTTATTTATTCAGTCGAAAGAAATAAACAATAATCAATAGCGACGAAAAATAAAGAAAATATGCTAAATAATATTGAAGAGAAATAATGGTTCTTGAAAAGAATGCATTACTTCTGAGAAATTTTTAATATATTTTTGAAAATGTAAACATTTTCCTGATAATTATAATACAATATAAAAACAACTAATAATTGCTGTTATATAAAAATTACACGTTCTGATTCTTTTTCGTAAAAGAGAAAGAATTGAAATGAGTAATAAATGACAATAAACTTTTAGTACATATTATTTTAGATTAATTGACTATATCTTTTACGTAAAAATCGAGCCTTTATTAATAATTTTAAAAAAATTCTATTTAAATCTATAAAACAATTAGTGTTTAAGTACTGTACCTTTAAGTTTATTTCGGTCCTGCAGGCATAGTTTTCATTGACACAAATATCAATAGAATATTTAAGTAATCTAAACTTTATTTAACTATTCTCTAATTTACATTAATTTGACTAATTATTTATACGAGAATCAAATATTTCAGAAGGTATAACGTTTTTCTTTACAAATTAAATTACAGTATATATATATATATATATATATATATAAATCAAACTTTTATTCAAATTTATTAAACAATATATAAAATATACCATTTAAAAAATAAAGTGAATAACGTTTTGTAATTAAAGGGTATTTAGGAAAATAATATATAAATACAAGGTATATTTATAATTTTATTAGATTATAAATATATCTTAGGTCGTCGTCTCTTCAATAGTAGATTGTTGTTCCCTGTGATCGGACATGGCGAGAGTGAAGATATTTTAGTCTTTCTACGTATTTTTACTAATGCGTAAATCCGTCAACCAGTTTTTAAAATAAAATATATCTTAAATTGAAACTTAAAATCTTATAAAATTATACACGAAGTAAGTATACAGATAACAAATGAGTACACATAACTAAACAGTAAAAGCTATTCATGTAGGCCTACTAAGCATATTAATTTTGTTATTATTAAATCTAAACATATTAAAATGAAATTTATTATAAGCTAATTCTTTCGAAAGTTTATAATTTAAAAATATCTCAAATGATCATAAAACTTTGTGAAATTAAACCTATAAAAACGAACTAAAATTCTATAGCTAACTTTTATAATTTATACGATTTGGCAAATTTTCTAATAATGATTTCTTGTAGGATATAAATGATCATCTATGGAAGATATTTTTGAAACATAATTTATATTCGATTG